TCAGAGTTGTTTCTGAAATCTGTCTTGGTCTTTTTTAAAACAAAACAAAAACACAACAAACGTTTTATTGTTAACTGAGTGAAGGTTTACAAGCAAATCAGTTTTCCATTCAACAGTTCATACACGTTTTGTTTCAGTCCTCACACTGTTATATTACTTATCCCACTTCCATCCGGTATTCCCTGTTTCCACTCCTCCTTTCCTACCCCTTCTTACCTTCTGAACTTTGTGCTTGAGCAAATGCTGCCCTTTTGATTATTCTAAGGAGCATGTACCTCCCTAGTAATTGCTTACCTTCTAGACCTCTCTGTTGTGTGGCTGAACATTGAACCCCAAGAATCAGTTCATTTCCAGGCCATAGTCTCAGAGGTTCCACCAATCTCTATCCATCTGTAAGGCTGATCTCTCTCTCTTGCTTTTTTAATAATTTTGAGCTTTGTTCCACATTTTCCTCCCATTCTATGCAGGACCCTCTATTGCAGTTCCTTTCAGAGTGGTCAGAAGCGGTAGCTAGATGCCATCTGGTTCTTCTGGTTTCAGAGTGTGGTGGAGGTTTCCATGGTTCATTAGTGCTTTGGACTAATTGTTTTCATGCTTCTTTAATTTTCTTCCATCTTCTTTGCTTCGGACAGGAAAAGACCAGTAGTGGCACATAGGATGGCTGCTCACAAACTTCTAAGATACAAGTCTCCAACAACAAAAGTAGAACGTGGAACATTGTCTTTGCAAACTATGTAATGTCAGTTGACCTCAGTGTCCCCAGACTATGGTCCTAGCCTCCAGGCCCAGTGACTCATTCCCTCCAGGTGTTTAGTTATAGCTAAGAAGTTTACATGCCTTTGCCCCCTGTCTGCTCTATTATAAACATGGATATGTTTACAGCACATACAAATATATTTGTAGAAATGTCATCTGGTCCTGAGCGTAGTCCCTTTCGCTTACTCATACCTGTTCATCTTGCCGGCCTGCCTGTGTATCCACTTGTAGATTACTGCTTGCTGTTTCTGGTAATGCAGGATTGTGTATATAATTGACTCTTAACTCTTGTACACCTGAGTCTTCCCCTTCTTTAATAATATTGTGTTGGTCCCATCTTTCTAATGACCTTTGGCTTTCTTCATGTGTGATGTCCTTGATATCATCCCACAATTCATCTGGTCTCTGGTCATTAGTGTTCATTGTATCATTTCTACTCTTGAGATGGTACATTCAGGCAGGTAATACTCAAGCATCTCATGGACTTGCCATTGTTTCTTCTCTTTTCAAGTCATGCCACATCAGCAAATAAAGATCTTGAAAGCTTTACTCCATTCATGCCATTAATGTTGACTCTACTTGGAAGAGGCAGCTCTTCCCAGCCATATTTTGAGTTCCTGTTCACCTGAGGGGCTCATCTTCTGGCACTTTATACGGAAATGCTCCATTGCTATTCATAAGGTTTTCACTGGCCAATGACTGTCAGGTCCTACTTTCTAGTCTGTCTTGGTATGGAAGCTATGCTGAACCTGTCATGGTGACTGTGCTAATATTTGAAATACCAGTGACATCCCTTCCAGGATCACAGCAACATGAAAGCCACCACAATTTGATGAATCGATAGACAAGTGATGTGCCCATTCCAAAGAAAGGTGATCCAACAGAATGTCGAAATTACTGAACAATATCATTTATATCACACTCAAGTAAAATTCCCTGAGGATAATTTGAAAATGGTTTCAGCAGTAAATCAGTTGGGACCTGCCAGAAATCCAAGCCAGATTCTAAAGGGGACAGGGGATGACGGGTATCATTGCTGATAGACCTTGGCTGAGATCAGAGAATATGACAAAGATGTTTTATTGACTGTACAAAAGCTTTCAAATGTGTAGATCATAACAAATTATGTATAACATTGCAAAGATTGAGAATTCCAAAACACTTAGTTGTACGCATGTAGAATCTGTACATAGACCAAGAGGGAGTTGTTTGAACAGCACAAGGGACTATTGCATGGTTTAAAATCAGGAAGGGAGTATGGCAAGATTATATTCTTTCACATACTCATTTAATCTGTATGCTGAACAAATAATCCAAGAAGCTGGACTATTTGAAAATGAACCCATAGAAAAATTGGAAGAAGACACATTAGCAACGTGCGATGTGCAGATAACACAACCTTGCTTGCTGAAAGCAAAGAGAACTTGAATTACTTGTTGATAAAGACCAAAGAATACTGCTTCTAGCACTGATTATACTTCAGTGTAAAAAAAGCAAAAATTTTTACAATTGGGCCAATAAGCAATAGATAAATGGAGAAAAGATAGAAGTTGTCAAGCATTTCATTTTACTTGGACCCACAATCAATACTCATGGAAGCAGCAATCAAGAAATCAAACAATATATACTACATTGGGCAAATCTCCTGCAAACGACGTTTTTCAAGTTTTAAGAAGCAAAGGTGTCACTTTGAACTGAGATGTGCCTAATCCAAGCCATGGCAGTCATCTCATATGCATTCAAAACCTGGAAGATTGAATAAGGACAACTGAAGAATTGATGTCTTTGAATTACGGTGTTGGTGAGGCATACTGAATACTCATAAATCATGGACTGCCCAAAGAACAAACAAATATGTCTTGGAAGAAACACAGCCAGAAAACTCCTTGGAAGCAAAGATGGTAAGACTTCATCTCAGGTATTTTGGACATGCTATTGAAAGGGACCAATCCCTGGGGGAAATCATGTTTGGTAAAGTAGAGGGTCAGCAATAAAGAGGAAGACCTTCATTGAAATAGACGGACTCAGTGGCTACAATGGTGGGCTCAGCAATAGCAACAATTGTGAGGACTCAGGACCAGATAGTGTTTCGTTCTGTTGTTGCTAAGAGTCAGAAACAACTGGACTGAACCTAACAACAACAGAGCTGCATTTCTTGGCGCATGGCTCAGTTCACACACACACACCTTCCCTCCCTTCCACATGAAACTCACACTCAAGCCCTAATGTCATGCCCCAGGACAGGGATAACCTGCTGCAGTGTCCAGCCTGGCTCCTGCAGAGGTGACACTTTGGTGGATTGAAGCTGTGTGTCTCGTTTCTTGTGACCCTAACCCCATCTGTGATTATCAGGGGGGCAAGACTGTCACCTGTTTCTGGAAAAGGAAAACGTGTCTAGCACTAAGGTCTCCATCTGCTTGTCTCCCCCTGCGCAGCCTGGCACTGTTGTTGATTAGCTCATGAGTTGCTGAGTGGAAAGCAGCGGCAGATACTACCCACAGGGCAGTTATCTCATGAGGCTGGGTGGCCATTCAGTGCCGTAATCCCCATACTTCAAACAGGGATACACACTGAGTTGTTGTTGTTGTTAAGTGCCGTTCTGACCCATAGCGACCCTGAACAGGGTTTCCAAGGCTGTAAATCTTTACAGGAGCAGAAAGCCTCCTCTTTCTCTCGTGGAGCAGCTGGTAGTTTCAAACTGCTGAGCTTGCGGTTCACCACTACACTACCAGAGCTCCTTTGTAACCACTACACTACCAGAGCTCCTTTACACACTGGGTATGAGCCCATTATTGCATATGAAACATTTATCAAGTTCTCAGAGTCAAACTGAAGGCAGGTGCTACACAGTATAATCTAGATCAGATACCTCAAAGAATCTACATGACCACACAGGTTAGGAATTCCCACATATACTACCTTAGATGCATTCTCTCTTCTCTTCCCTCTTTCTTTTCCTTCTCTCTCTCTCTGCCTTCCCAACTTCCTTAGAGTTTTCATTCGGAGCTTACACCATTGATTCTCAAGCTTGGTTGGATATTAGAATCACCTGGAGAGTTTTAAAAATCACCAACGCCTCAATCCCATTCTCAGAGATTCTGATTTAATTGGTCTTGGTATAACACGGGCTTGGGGATTTTTTCAAGCGTCTCCGGTGACTCTAAACATGCAGCCAAGCTTGAGAATCAATGTCTTAGATTACGTCCTGAATGATGATCTCAGAGCTTCAAACCAGCTCATTCCTGAGAATCTGCTGAGAGTTTGCATTTCCTCTCCAGATATACTGAATCATATAGTCTACATTTTAACAGATTCCCCAGCAGAGAGTTGAACCAGAATGAACCAGTTAGAAGCCCTGGGTGAACTCTAGTGGAGAACTGGGGGAAATCTGAGTTCCATGCCCCCAAAATAGATTTACCTCCACCAGCTGCACTACTTAGAATTAACCTACCACCTTGTCTTGTCACCTCACCTGGGATTCATAATTGGCAAGATGTTAATATGCCCAAGGAAGATCCAAGTCATAGTAAATGCCATCACTTTCAAGCCCTTTGGAAATAAAAATTGGCAAAATCTGTCCATAAAGCAACTTGGTAATGTGTCTCAAGAGCTTGAAATATGTCTAATTCATATCCTTGGTCCAGTTATTTTACTTCTTATCCTAAGGAAATAATCAGAGACATGGTAAAATATTTTATGTATAAAGATAATCATCAATGTTTTATTTATAATTGTAAAAAATAGAAATAACAGAACAAGGTTCACAATACAGCATCGAGTTACTATATATATTATGGTATATCATGAAACAGTGAAACAATGAAATGCTATACAGATAGTTAAAACCTTTCAGGCAAGGTTTCCACTCATTCAGATCACTCTGCAGCCAAGGTGGTTATGTGAAGGAGCTGACTGATGGGACTGAGCAGAGAAACCAAGTCTGGAACTAAAGCTTGAGGTTCCACATGCTCCACCCTGCAAAGTATGGTTTTTGTTGTTGTTAAGTTCTGTCGAGTCGGTTCTGGCTCATGGAGAACCTGCATAGGGTTTCTGAGGAGCAGGGGTGAGTTTGAACCACTGACCTTGAACTTCAAACCGACCTTGTGGTCCAGTGCTTGTCCTACAGCACCACACCAGGACTCCTCCTGCAAAGCAATCCCTTGAAAAGGGTTTGGGGTCATGGTCTCACTAGAGGGCTCTCTCTCTTCCACACTCTCCCTACACCCCTCTCTCTGTTTTTTCAGATGGAAGTGATTGTTGGGGACTTTGGGATTGTGGTGGTGCCCCGGGATGCAGCCGACACAGACCGAATCATGAACCACTCTTCAATACTCCGCAAATATAAAGTAAGTTCTCCACCTCCCAGCTGGGAGAGTCTGTGATGTGGCCCCTCCTGTGAGAAACCTGGGGGCTGGAGAAGTGAGAGAGCAAAAAGAGTTTGGTACTAGGGACTGATAACCAATCTTCTGCTCTGTCTCCAGAACAACATCATGGTGGTGAAGGATGACATTAACCATCCCATGTCTGTTGTCAGTTCAACCAAGAGCAGGTATGTTTGACAAGTACAAGTTTCCATACAACTCTCCTAAGTCAAGACCAAGCCTTAGATTCAGGCCAACACCTGCTGCTCCAGTAGTCACCCTTCTGTTTGGACCTCACTAATTTGTCCCCAGGAAATATATTTTTAAAAGAGGAAAACCCATTATCTAGTCTGAGCTGGGAAAGAGGATTTTTCAGTTTAAAATTCTTTGGTTTGAGGTGCTCATGGAATCCTGTATTAGTAAGGACACAGGTTAAGTTGCCATAACAAAAATGTTCCAATATCCATAGTTTCTTTTGTTTGTTTTTTTAAGATAGATGTTTATTTCTCTCTCGACTCTACAGCGAAAGGTTTGGTTCATTTTTGTCTTTACTGAATAGTCAAAAGCACTAGCATGTCTGTATTTTTCAACATGAAGCTCACATCTCTGGGTCTGCAGCTTTTGCAATGACTGTTATTCTTAACCAGTAGGAAAGGGTAGAGTAAAGCCCATGGGAACAAGATTCATCTGCAGGAAGATAAACCAAAGTTGCACATCTCGCTTTCCTTTGCTTCCCACTGACTCAACCTCAGTTGCAGTGGAGGCTGGGAAATAGGCTTTATAGTTAGGGAGCCATGCACCCAGGCGAAACCCAGAAGTTTTAATACTAAATAGAAGAAGGTGAGAATGGATGCTAAGAGTCAGTTAACACTCTCACCACAAACCCCAAGTGGAAACATGCAGTAGAATGGTGAGACACAGGGACTAGGAAGATCTGAAAGTGTAACACTGAGAGCCATGAGCACGGAAGTGTCAAAGAAAATGACAGGTGTGGATGAACTCACAGGAGAGTCCACAAGAAGAGGAGGCCGTGAGGCGTATCACCATTTAGAAGGCGGCTAAGGAGCAGTCAGAAGCCACCAGCAGTGGTGGCTCAGAAATCAAAGTTGGAGTGGATCATGTGTGTTACACATTTCAGAAACGCCTATAGCCCAGGACTCGAGTTCATTGGACTTCTTCCCTGGAAGGATGCACAGAAACCCAGTGATGATGAGTGGAGAAGAAAAGGCTGTGCTTCCAAACATAGCTATCTATCAGAATCACCATGAAAACATTAAAATTCTTGTGTTCTATTGAGTTCCACTGAATTAAGATTTCTGGGAGTTGTACCTGGAGATCTACTTCCTGAATAATTTTGCTGAAGCTGGGATGAGATTTGGAAACACAGGTGTGTTTTCCAGAAGCTTTTCTGTGGCAGAGAGGCACTTAGGGATCTCGCTCACATGATCAGACAGTGTATCCATTGAAATGACAGGGAGTCAGCCTCCCAGGATCTCACAAGACAGGGCTTAGATGCCTTTCAGAATATAAATATCTTGAGGAGTATATGGATTTTTAAAAATAGCTCCTAGAGCCTGACATTCCCAGGAAACGAGGAGGAGACAAGAGGAAACAGTCAGACCAAGACTGGAACAAAATGTCACAGAAGCCAAAGTGTCACTGGAGACCCATCATACCTCCCAGTGTCTTCTCTCAATGGGCCCCAGAGCTCATAGCTGAGGGCTTCCATAGGAAGGAAGAGAAATGGCCCATCATAAAAGCTCCAGTTTCATGTTCATTTCCCATCATGAGACCATCCTGGAGAGGAACCCAAAGGACTAGAATCATGATAACTAACCTTACCTTGGAGTGCTGGCGTGGTGCTCTAGGATAAGCACTGGACTGCTAACCACAAGGTCAGCAGTTCTTTAGCCTTACATTAAAGTGCTTGTTATGTGCTCGGCACTCCTCTAAGTGCCTTGTATAATGACTCATTTATCCTTTTAATAACTGAATGAGATAGGCACAAATAGCCTCATGTTGTTGTTGTTGTTGTTGTTGTTAGGTACCATCAAGTTGGTACCGACTCATAGCAACCATATGCACAACAGAACGAAACACAACCTCACAATTGTTGCCATGCTCAAGCCCATTGATGCTGCCACTTTGCCAATCCATCTCACTGGGGGTCTTCCTTTTTCTCAGATCCTCATGTTACAGAGGAGAAAACAGAAGATCAAAGGGCCTTAAGTAACTTGTCCCAGGTCCCTCAGCTAAGAAGTAACAGAGATAGGATGAACTGATATCATTGGGGTGGGGAAGGAATTAGAGGTACAAATAGTTACCCTAACATGGATACCAATTACTTAGCCTAGGGAAAGACTGGTAATGGGATATCCCTCTCCCTGAAGGAGCAGGCGAGTCCTCCTGACTTGTTTAAGGGTGCCAATCTAACGAATTGTTTCTTCTTGTCCAGGCTGGCCCTGCAGCACGGGGACGGCCATGTTGTGGATTACCTATCCCAGCCAGTCATCGATTACATCCTCAAGAGCCAGCTGTACATCAACGCTTCTGGCTAGCAGCCACACAGCCCCCGGCTCCACTCTTCCCATGTCCTCTGACAACACACTGACCCCTTCAGTCTCTGTCAGTCCCTCCGTTTCCCTCCTGCCGCTCTGTTTCTCCATCTCCTCATTTTGACTGTTCTCCCACTCGCTGACTTAACCTCCACAGTGTGGGGGACCTGCAGAGAACCATGGCATACCCTATTCCACAGGCATCTTTGGACAAACTTTCCTCTAGTCTCTGGGTTGGGGTGGGTGAGGGAATAAGGGTGGGAGGTGGGGAAAGTACAGTCCTTGGAGATGTACTGGTGTCCGTCTCCCAGCATGCTCTAGAGAGGCGGCTCTGGTGCCCATCCTCCCAGCATGCTCTGGGGAGGCGGCTCAGGCACTCGCCTTCCCAGCATGCCCTTTACCACAAAGGGCTATTTTTCTTTTTCTGTTTTTTTTTCTTCCCCCACTTCTCCTAGAACTTGGATGAAATCAGTGTCCATGGTTCTTTATGTTGTAGTCATGATGTACTTCTGTGGTATTCCTTCCCCTCTGATAGGCTATCATAGCCAGCCTCAACACTCAGTAACTGTGTGAAGATCATACCAATAAAGAGGACCCAGACACTCTGCTCTCCCAGCACACACACACATACACACAAACACACACACATCCTTTGGCAAGAGTAAGATCTTCAGGATCTGAAACCTGGGAGGCAAGTCTGGGAATAGTAAGGTTTCTCAGAAGATTGTGAGTTCATTTCCATAATTCCAGAAGGCCATTTTCCTGATGCTCTGGATTGACAGTCACACAAAGTCATTCCTTCTTCATTTCTTAAGCCCTATCCTTCCAGGTGACATATTCACATTTATTTATCTGGACTGTGACTGATGTGTACAATATGGATTCCCTGCCAAGGGAATTTCCAAGGGAACTTGGAAATCTCAGTCTAAGCCCTTGGAGTCATACTTAGGTATATTCCTGCATCTAAGAAGATTCACATATGCAAGACCAAATTCTGATAATGCAGTAATTTCTTAAATAAAACGTGCCAGGAATTCACTCAACCTTAGAGATCTCTGCAAATGAAAATTATTTATTGCCCACTTGGCTGAGAAATGTCTTTACCATAATTGAAGCCCAGGATGATCTGGGAGAAAACAATTTGTTGTTCTGTAAGGAATGAAAGATTCTCATCCATTCTGAGAATTGAGGTAACACAGGTGGCACCCAAGGCTGATACTTTCTTGTGAAGCAGTGCCTTGCCTTTGTTTCTGGGGACAGATCCGTATTTCCTGTAGGCCCCAGGAGAGCCTAGTAACCACAGTGGTGGTGGTGGTTATGTGCCGTGGAGTCAGCTCCGACTCATAGTGACATACAGGGTTTCCGAGGCTGTAAATCTTTACAGGAGCAGAAAGCCTCATCTTTCTTCCATGGAACCGCTGGTAGTTTTGAACTGCTGACCTTGTAGTTCACAGCCCAATTTGTAACTATACGTCACAGTAGCCACCTGGTAAAACATGCCGGACAAAGTTTCTGCAGGTGAGAGATCTGCAGTAGTCAGGAGTCTCCAAACCATGTGGATTAAGCTGTTTCACCCCCTTCCTCATTACCCATCATTCTCTGCTGCCCTCGGAAGCATGGTGGTTCTGGTTGTTAAGGCCTCACTCATGTCCTGCTTGGGAAGCCAAAAATTACTCTCTTGGGCTCTGTATCTCATCTAGTCTCTGACTTGGGTTGTCTGTAAGAAATGGCCCCCAAGCAGTAGGAAAATTTGTATAAAAATCTAGGAGTAGCTATGGCCCAGGAAGAACAGGCTGGGACCTAACACCAGGGACAACTTCCTTCATCACACATTTTCACCTCTGCAGCATCCTTTGATAGCCTCCAGGAAAAGTAGCTCAATTCAACAGAGGAACATGAATTCTGGAGGAAATCATCCTCACAGAAGGAATGAAAGATCTTATTCTTGGGAAGGTTTTCGTTTCTACCCTTATGGAGCCTTTATCTGTTCCAGGTGCTCCCAGACATGGCACTGTGCATGTCAGTCCCAGCAGGGGTCGTGTTAGTGGGGAAGACAGCTAAATTTCCATTAAAAATCAACAGTTTGCAGAAAATCTCAGAATTTGACTCTCTGAAGCTAATAAAGGATGACTCTGTAGAAGGCTAAGGACACAGTGGGTATTTAGGGTGACATAATTACTGGGAGAAAAAGATGGAGGGCACTTGGACCAGGCAAAGGAGAAAAAGGAGAAGAAACAAAGGGAAACAGGAAGCTAGACTTTCTTAGGGGGAAGTGTGTTTGCAAGGATATGGAGATTTGGGGTAGACTCCAAAGGCAGGGGGTGAGGATCCATTTGAGCAGAACCAAGTGGAACTTGATTGATTTTGTCTCTGAGGCCCACTCTTACTCATCTGGACTCTGTGGCCACACCCATTTAACCCACAACCCAAGGGAAGGAACTGGGCTGGCCCCATGTGCTCATTATTGGGGCAGGAAAGTCCATAGGATGAGAGAGTGAGGCAAATTTAGGGAAGAACAGGATAAGAGGAGAAGTGGAGCTCTAGAATGAAATGGGGCAGATCTTAGCTTGGTGGGTCATAGGGATCCTGCAAAAGATAGCTTTTTTTTTTTTTTTTAATATAAGGAAAAGCCAACCTTCTGTCCTTTTAGAATCACCCATTTCCCTTCCAGCCCCGTTCATTGTTTTCTTGGGAGAGGTCAGAGCAGCTCTCTCCCTCCAGGGCAGTCACAGCCGGCAGCTGAGAGATGATTCAGACTTGAAGTGGTAACCTAGGTGCCAACAGGATGACCTCTAGGACCTAACTTCTCCTCTGGAGTCCTGGCTCCTTCCAACAAAGCTGACATGGTTCAGAGAGCGTGAGAAATGCATGGGCTGGAATGGGAGTGCCAGGAGAGGTCTGGAGCCTTCTTTCCTGAGTACTAAGAAAAGATGTCCCTTCCATATCTTCTCAAAATGCCTGATCCCGTAAGAAGAGGCAGGAGGGCAGCCCTTTGTGTCAATGATTCTTTCCTTAAGTAAGGATGCTCTGGGGACCTTGCTGCTAGTGGGTGCTTCTGTCCCCCATCTAGACAGCTCCAGGGGCTTCTTGCCTTTAGGGGCCTTCTTGGTTCCATTACCCTTGAATGTACATAGGAACAGGGGAATAATGTCTCTTACTGAAGTGCCTGAAACCCAGAGCTAGAGCTTCTAGAGACATCTCAGCTTTGCCAGCTTTCCCCAACATTCTCTAGTCTCATACTCCAGCTTCTCAGGAGGAATAAAAACAAAACAACCTTTCCTATTCAAATTAAGCAGAAAGCAAGACTACAGTAAAAGGCAGAGACTACAGAGGAAAACAACGTGAACTTTTACAACCTGAATCCACTTTCCCCAATCTGATACACACAAACTTTTAGGGGATTAAGACTTAACAACAACAACAGAGGAAAACGACGTGAACTTTTACAACCTGAATCCACTTTCCCCAATCTGATACACACAAACTTTTAGGGGATTAAGAGAGAGAAGCATGTGATTATATTTTATCCATCAAAAGAGCAGTGAAAAATGAATTGAGTAGAATATGAAAAGCTCAGGATCGCTCCCAAAGCTACTTCAGTAGGTTAAATACCTAAGATGGGAAGACTGGAAACAGGGACTGATTTTGTAGCTCATCCAGTGAAGACGGCATGCTTTAAGGATAGTATTGTGTTCACGATGATGAATCTGCTTGTCACATTCATCCAGTTTGTACCTTCCTAGAGCTGCCCAGTAAACTCATTTCTTTATGGTGGTTTCTCTGTGGTGTGAGTTTGAAGTGTCTTATTAGACTGTTCTGGTTAGTTAGAAATGAGTTATAAATCGTCCCCTGGTTAGTTAGAAATGAGTTATAAATCGTCCCCTTCTCCTTTACTCTGAGCCCCGGGCCCAGGGCTCAGCTTGATTCAAATGGTCTTGAGGGTTGGCATGGGGAGGGGGGAGTTTGTTTTTTGACTCACATTTTGGTCACTGAATCTGCCATTTTAAGGAGTATGATTTGCTTTATGAAAATCAATTCATTAAGAAAAGTTACATTCAGACTGCAACACCATTTCACAGTGAAATATTTTGAGTACAATTTTGTTGCTAGAATAGTCCTAGACAAGAGTTTTATCAGCAAAATGTTTCAATTATCTTAATAAATAAGACAATGCTACTTCAGTCTCCTGTCTTTGTCTAGAGTCTTCTCTTGTGAGCTGCAGACTTAATTACTTTTTCTTTATAGCCTTGCTCGAGAGGCACCAACAGTTGTAAATAGCTACCCAGAGCAACAGATGTTCTGCTGATGCTACATGTGTAATAAATATCTCCATCAATACAGCTGACCCAAGGATCATCAATAGAGAAGAATAATGAACAAATTTGAAAATCCTGGCCAAGTTTTCTGTTTTTAAAAACAGCATCTTAGATCTTACTTAATTTATCTGATGTTGTGTTGGTTAACTTTGGCTCCTTGATGAAATTAAATTAGTGATTTATGAAATAAAAATTGTATTTGTGAAAATTAAAAACTTGAGTAACAACATATCAGTATGAAATAACTAAGACAACAATCGTTTGACCCGCAAGTTTTGTTAGTGTAAACAAACGAAAACAAATTAATTTGTTAATGGTTCCATTCTGCTGGTGCTTCTATTACTTCATCTTTAGTTGTAACCTATATCCTATACTGGTTTAGGTCTAAACTGGGGTTGCCGTCAGCTAATATCAGCCATGAGTTAGAAGGTGAAAAAGCAGTTCCCCATCAGTTTCCCCATTAGATCAACTAGTTTAAAGAATAGCTACTTGGTTGTCAGATTTCTGTTTTCAAAAACATTTTGTTTCTTCGTATGTCTGTTGAAGTCAGCCTGCCTTATGCGTATGTATGTGGGCTTTGAGGTACATTATGATGCTTGGTATGCCTTATGCATTGATTACTTGTGTTTGTTTGTCACTTTGCTCACAAAGCTAAACACATGCTTTTTGTCTTTTCCTTTATCCTGAGAGCATGTAGTGCTGACAGCTTGTTTAAAATTGGGTATAGACGCTGCTGTAATTTGCTGGCTTACATTATCTTTGATCTTATTCATGGTAGACATATTCTCTGACATATTTCCACATTACATGAGTTTTGGCTTTTGCAGATTTTACTTTACATGTGCATTTCTGCTTT